CTTAAAAACTGTAGAAACGTGGTCACAATCCACAAAAATATTAAATGGAAGAGCACATGTAAGTTGTTTTAGTTCTGGGTGACTCGAGTTGAGACGATTTTGGGGCTCTATAAGTCTGTAACCGATGATTTTTGGGCCAGATGCATTAAGATATCGGTGTGTATGCGTAGATTTTCTGTAAACAGATCGACTCAGTGTTAGGTCTGATTTTCTATTGAAATGAATACCTAAAAATGGGAGATGATTATTAGTTTATAATTCAAGTCAAATAACAAAATTATCATCAGCGTATCATTAAAGTGACTGGTGATAATGGAGAACCCATAGCTATTCCCGATGTTTTTAATATATCCGAAATAATGTTGAGCTCAGTTAAGCTCTGAAGAAGCCAACAGGATAACTGACGAAATGTTGGCAAGTTCGACTTAACAAAAACCGACGCAAGAGGAATCCAGAAGTTTCGTAAAAAGCATTACAGTAGCCTATGGAAGTTTTCCAGGTTTGCGAATCTTAGGGAGTCCGTAGAGCTGAGGAATTTTAGAGTCATGAGGGGTAAGAGACTTTTTCAGCCATTCTGATAGAGAAAAAGCCTCAATAACGGATTAACGGTTGCGTTCTATAGATGACGTAGAATCTATTGTAAATTGACGATAGGACCCGCTTGTAAGAACATCTTGACTCTTTTCCTGATATTCATTTGTGTTCCTGAATATGGTAGTATTTCCTTTATCTGTTGTTAGGATCGCGAAGTCGGAATTAGATTTTAGGGTAACTAATTTCCAAGCGGCCGACGGCCCACTTTTGCAAGAAATTCATTTTCTTAGAGTCCTTTGTGTATGTGTATTACTTGTTATTTCCTTTTTATTATAATAATTTTATATACAGATGAGACCAGCAGGCGCACGACAAGGGGCGGAACGCCGTTTTCTAGAATTTTCAAATACCCTATCTACAATCGTAGATAGGATCTTGGTACCTTTCCTACCGAAAATGGAGGGCCAGCCAGCAACCATAATTGCCCAGAAACTATGGTAGTCGGGCTCGACGAACGATTTATTGCGAAAGCTCCGAGGCGGCAACGTGGCACAAACTATATTATTATCGCCGTGAACAAGTGGACCAGCAAATCCAATGATTACGGTAATTGATGTGTTCATTCCGGCCGTTGTGGACATTTTTCGGTAACGTCGGCCGCGTTTAATGGTGTGTGAAATATGAAATTTAGGTGCATTGTATTGTGGTGGACCCGCCGAGCGGTATCTGAAACGGTTTCGTTGTTATTTATCGTCGCCGACATGAAAGGAACAAATATTTTTGCATGCCGGTTGTGCGCTGTTACATACAGGTGGTATATAGTGCGAAAAGATTTAGAAACTACACTTTAGTCACGACTTTCATTATTGAATATCTAAATGTAAGGTAGCACCAACTAAAGAAATGAAACTAAATTGTAGGACGTCATTACCCTTAACTATAGCTTAAAATGTACAAAACTTTCATGGAAAATATCAAAATCTGCGTGCTCACTGTCTATACTATTATAAATCCAGTCAGAGCAATTGAGCAGTTAAAGTTCGCCAAAGGATATATCGTTTTTACGACATATTTCGGTATTTAATATTGGTAGTTTTTTATGAACACAGGCCTACCCCGCTTGGGGTATAACCCTAAATAAATAGATTCGCAATTGTATAATGATGTTCCAGAATCGTACTTCGGTACTTCGTTCGATTTGTGTAGAGTTTCATCGGTGAGATTTCTCGCATGCATTATTTTTCCATGCAGGGAAAAATCCATTCTTTACAATATTTATTATAAATACGAATGAAGGAGTAAATTTCTCTATAAAACAAGGTTAGAATATTTATAAAAAAAGTTCTTCTAGATCAAAGTAATCACTATCTTCACTGGACTCATCCCCACATTAATGATTAATTCTCGCCATTTTCTTTTTCGACGGCATATTCTACAAATTTTTCCCAAGCAGATATTTTTTCTACTTTGCGATTACATTTTCTCTATTCCTTGTGGCCTGTATTAAGAATTTTATATCTTGTAGTCCTGTCCACTGCCTGATGTTTCGCTGAATTTTCTGCTTTTTGTGGCTTTGTGTAAAATATCAAAAATGTCGTCAAAAACGTGTTTTCCTGTGTTTAAGTGTGTAGCATAATTAGTTTTGAAACTTTTTCACCAGGTTCTCCTATGTAGGTAATTGTTTTAAATTGTTCCTGTTCTGTATTAGGTCTCTGATAAATAGAGTTTACTGTTGTCTGGATTTATTTTTTATTTTTAATTTTATCTATGTAGCCGTTGTTCAGTACCATTTGTTTAATGATATTAAGTTCTATGTTGAAATTTTCTGTTGAGAGTGGCGTATTAAGAAGTCTGTGTATAAAAGAGTGAAATGCAGCCATTTTGTGTGTATAAGGATGATTTGAGCTGTTATGTATGACTGTATCCATGTGTGAAGGTTTATGATAAATTCAAAAATTAATAGAGTTATGCTGTTCATTCTGGATTGTGAATTTTATACGATTATGTAATCAATTAATGTAATTTAAAAAAGAATTCAATTGTCAAAGCAAGCAAAGACATCATCCCCGTATCTATCTTCTCTTCTTGACGTGCCATCTCCATCAGTGGAGTTTGGATATCACAGTGACAAATCTCTCTCTGTCTTCAGCCGATTTTATGAGCTCTTCGAAGTCCATGCCAGTCCACTGTCGTATATTCCTCAGCCATGACAGTTTCTTCCGACCCAGCCCCCGCTTGCCTTCGATCTTTCCCTTGACGATGAGCTGTGACCCAGGTATGCAGTCTTACGGACTTTCACAAGCTTGAATAGTTCTCGTTCAGTTCCCAGCCTTCGCAAAACTTCTTCGTTCGTGGTATGCGATGTCCATGGTATTTTAAGTATCCTGCGATATGTCCACATCTCGAAAACTTCTAGTTTATTAATGGTTTGTGTTTTTAGTGTCCATGTTTCGACTCCGTACAAGAGAGTAGACCACACATAACATTTTGAGAATCTTAAACGCAGCTCGAGGTTGATTCGTCAGTCGCATAGGAGCTTTCTGAGTCGTACAAAAGAGTTTCTGGATTGTTCTATTCTCGATCTTATTTCTGCGTCTGGATCTAATTTGGTATCTATCCAGCATCCCAAGTATTGAAACCTGCCCACTTCTTCTTCTTCTCTTTATTTGTATTGCTGTGGGATCACGTATCTATACCACCATAGAAAACTTTTACTTAAAGGATGTTCTAGTATGATATTTTCCAAATTATCCATAAAAATCTCGGCTAACAAAGGACTAAGTGGGTTTCCCATAATCAAGCCTTCTTTAGAGATGTAAATCTGTCTATTAAATTCAAAATAATTTGGGTCTAAAGATACTATTAAGCAATCTAATAAATCTTGTTTCACCAATGGGTTAACCTGTTTCCGAGTTAGGGTGAAATCAACTAAATCTATCACATCCATAGGTGGAATACTGGTCTAGGGGATTAAGTCTATGAGACAATTCAGAACACCTTTACATAAATGTTGTTTGTATTCCGTTTTCTGTACTCGTGTCTTCGTTCTTCCTTCATCCATGAGACATTCAAACGTATCTTTCATAGAGGAGTTTGAGTACTTCTGAAGGAAATGCATCCGGGCCTGTGGCTTTGTTATTTTTTGAATGACGTGTCCCCTTTAGGGACCAGTCACCTTGAATGTGCAGTTGTTTTATAACCTAGCATTCGTGTTTAAGCCATTCATTTTTTGCTATTCTAATCTTTGATCCTACAAGTCTTTGAATATCTTTGTACGTGTTGCCATCCCTTACGTTCTTCTACTTCACTTCCAATTCATTCTATTGCCCCAGAACTAAATTTCGGCGAGGTGTTGTTTCTTCTTCAACTGAGTTTCAGTTCTATGGGATTAAAATTCTAATGACATGATAGATGACGGACAACTCTGAATCCCCGGTCCATAGCCAACTTATCCGCATTACACTTCCTAACACACATTCCCATTTTAAAAACTTTTAATAAGTGCTTCTTTGGGTAGGAATTTTCAAAACACAAATCGTTTTCAAGCAAAACATTTTGAATGACCACTTTAGTCGATGATGAATTCAGTATTCTTTCCGCTTGTGCCGCACCAATGTGTTCTATATTGGAATTCCATACCAGCTAGTTAGGAAACGTCAAAGAGCAACCAATGTTGAATTTCGGCTTTTTTCTATGAGGCCAGTAGATAGCTCAAGTTTCAAGAGTGGTGGGAAGCGTTATTCGTAGGCACAACATTGAAAAGTAAATTACGAATAAGCGACTATTCCAAACTCGAAATATTCACAGTTCATTTCTATCTGCGGTCTGTTTTGGTGTGTTACTGTGTCACGCCAAACATAATTAATCGTCTGACCCACATTGACCCAACTTTTATCTAAATACTTTACATTACAATTTTGTTGGTGGTATTTCTTAATCGGCTTAAATACCTGTGTCTCCAATTAATAATGTATGTTCGCTCTAACATTATACCTTTGCGAACACGCTTCACATATTCAAATCATGTATTTTTCATTAATCTACCGAAATTGCAATTAAGGTTAAACTCTTAAAATCATCAAAGTAATGTATATAATCGTCAGGATTTGACTGACTTGCCGCTTTTTTCTTGAAGTACGATTTTTTAATTCGCCATTGTTCTGTTCCGCGTCTTTCTAGCTACGAAAGCTTGAAAATTTTAAATTTTAGGTTATTCAAAAATATTTTGAAGATCATACCACCTCCGGTTACCTTATTTTAAATGAACCCCCTGTATATTGTTATTATATATGGACAGAGCATAACACCAATTCGGCATCAGGATGGCTTTCAGATTGAAATTTTAGGATGCCGATAAAAGAACACTCTGTATAAGTCGAGCGACTTTTGCATGTCGACGTTCATTGCGATAACGGTTGTTTATTTGGCGAATGAGGAATTTTTGGAACATAGTTCGTTGATAAGTTTCCAAGGCAATGGTGCTCATTGTTTTCCTAATACCAATACTTTCATTCGTTGCGTATTTCTACATAAAATATAGGTACAGTTATTGGAGCAAAAGAGGGGTCACCCAAATTGAACCCGAATTTCCGTACGGAAATCTAAAGGAAACTATATTGAAGAGGCGCACCATCGATCAGAATTTGACGCTTTTGCGAAACAAATTTAAGCAACTCAACCAAAAACACGGTAAGTTTAAACTTATCCGCTTATATCGAATTGGACTGAAGGTGACTAGTTGGACATATTGGTTCCTTTTGGATAATATTTATAAACTACAAAAATTGTGAACACCAAACCAACCAAAACTAACCAAAACAAATAATGACAAAGGAAGGTTACACTTTTTACTCTGTTTTTCATTATTATTATATTGCATTTATTGTCATAAAAAGAGAACAAGAAAAAATATATATAATACAAATACAATACAAAGTCATAAGATAAGTCCAATACAACCCATGAAGACAATAAATACATTTTTCACAAGAATAACCTATAACTTATGGTAAGATAATACACTATTAGCTAAACTACAACCTAATTTTAGCCTTGAAGAAATTTAAATGTAATTTTGGTAGAACCAACAAAAAACTATAAAAAAACATTAACAACTATGGATTTTCTCCATAATCAATAAACAAAACCTCTTAGATTAATAATTGCCAATTTCAACCTCGTAAGCATACAGAGTGAATATTTATACAAAAATTACAAAATAATCATAAACAAATAATGGATAAATGAACCAAATTAATAAAGTTGAAATTGTAGGTAATTCTTGAAATCATATACTATATTGTTTTAGTATGACGCAGCTTGCAACATTTCTTGAATTTCATTTAAAAAAGATTTGGACTGCTATTTTTTGGAAATAGAATGGCCTTGCATCGAGCATACCTGATTCATTAAATATTTGTGTTGTTGGATAACATATATGCATATTATAAACAATTTTTAAAATTCCTTTTTATGAAACGTTAATTTGTAATTTATATGCGAATGAGCGAGAGCATGGTACAATTACTCCAAGATACTTAAATTGATTGCAAGATTTTATGTCAAAGCTTGTAGAGTTTAAAATTTAAGGATTTTTGGGAAATCTATGCTAAGCTTGTTGTTGTTAAACCATTTTTTATATTCTATAAAATTACCCTGTAATTTTGGCGAAAACTAAGTAGACGAAGTTAATAGTGCCCACAATAGATTTTCTAGGAGGCACCTCAAATACGCCGATACGAATATATGTTTTTTTTTTCAAAAGTTTCTATAAGGTTTCTAGAATTTGTTCCTTCATAGCTATTATCATTTAAGCGGTTATTCTTCTTTATTTTATGTCTGTTTTAATGTAATTTCTCGTCTATTGCATTTTAAAGACTGCATTTGACTGCCAAGTTCAGAAAAAAAAATTCATTGAAGAAGACCTAACACTTTAGTTGGAATTTGTGGTATCTCTTTTCTTTTGAACTTTATTGTCAATTAGAAGTTCAGCGATAACACCAAGAGATTAGCTGGTGTTTCAGTAATCACATACAAAAGCCTATCAAAACCTCTCTCCTATTTATTTCTCTCTCTCTCTCTCTCTCTCTCTCTCTCTCTCTCTCTCTCTCTCTCTCTCTCTTTCGTCTTAACCACTCTCTTTTTAAACCTCTAAATTGGTTATTGGACCACAAAACACATATTTGTTAGGCTTTCTGTTTTTATTTTAAGGTTAAGTTTTTGTTATGAAGTGATAAGAATATAAAATTATATTTTTTACAAATTTTTGTAGAAAATATTATATTATCATATAATAATAATATGCAACAAATTTCACTAAGAACAATATATGTACTCGAACAAGGAGAAAACAATATTCGCAGGTTTATATAACTAAGCAAGAAAAAGATTATAAAATTTCCCTCAATTTAAGCCCATGCTAAAATGTTGAGGTTGAGGTGCTAATGTTCATTGATCAACAACCACTAATGATTGTAATTTTTCTCAAGAGAGAAAGTGTTTTACTAGTGATGAAATGACACTTTCTTAAACGAAGATTATCAATGTAATATATTATCAATATAATCAACAGTTCTAACAGTATCCTGAAGTTCTTTTAACGCTTGTAGGTGGTATTTATCTATTTTCCACTCCCATATGGATCCCCGTCAGTCCCGATATGATCAAAAACATCCTCCAGAAAGATTTCCATCATTTTACCGACCACTACATCTACTACGACGAGAAGGAAGTTCTGACGAACAACATCTTTCATATGGAAGGGGACAAATGGAAGCAGATGAGGACCAAGCTATCTCCGGCCTTTACTTCTGGAAAAATGAAGCAGATGTTCGATATCGTTTACGCCTTGGGACAGGCCCTAGAACAATTGGGTTTGTATAAAAGTTGATGAGTTAAAAGCAAGGCGTTATAATATCTAATCACCACCAGGATAGTTTCTTATTTATAAAATTTTGATATGTTTTAAGGGACTTTTATTGTAAGTTTTTTTTTGTGATTTTCTCACAGTCGTCAAATGTGAATGATGTGAATTAATAAAAAAATACAAAAAAAATGCAAACTCAATAAGCAGGTTGAAAGTTTACTATTCATTTAACAAGAGAAATTTTCCAGTAGATTTGCGTAATTTTTCAAATTAATGGCAAATTATGTTTCCGTGAAATAATCCTTGTATAAAGCAACGTTAATTAGCAATTATATCAGGCAGCTAAAGTCCCCTATTTTTTTTAAAAAAATTGTTATTAATAAGAGATCAAACAGGGTGTAATACAGTAAACGCAACGCATTTGAACCAATTTCAATAAAAAAGTTTCTTCTTGGAAAAAGTTGCTCATATGGAAAAAAAGGAGTATAAAAACATTTACATTTAAGGGTACCTGTTACAACTGTTTATTCAAGAAAGAATTTTGACAGTAAAACATTGCTTCATCATTAAGTTTTTTCCAAAGGAAATTATTGAAATTACTATTTACGGAGTTATTTTTTACTGAAATCATTTTTGCTATCTTTTTTGTTTTGCTTCATTTTTATCAAAAATATTTGCGGAAATGTCATTTGGGATTTTAACTTTCATGGATCAAAATAAAAAAAATCTTAAGGATCGGATCTTCTGCAAGGCTTCTTGTAGGTATGTTGGCAACTTTTGATGTTGAGTTGGCTTGACATTCGACCCAACATAAAGATAACGTATGGCGAAGCACTAAATTATGTATGAATTAAAGTGTGTTAATCAGTTATCATTTTAACAAAATACTGTACCGATTTTGACCTCGGAAATTATAAGGTTGTTCGGAAAGTCATTTCGTTTTTCCCGTCAGGGGACTTAATTGCGTTTTTTCGAAACCAACTTCACACTTAAGCCGCATAGCCATTATATGTCTTGAGAGCTGATATTGTAAGGCTTGTGTGTGAAAAAGTTCTATTAATTCTACGCAGTAGTTTTTGGTTGGTGCCCTTTTAAATATGGAGAGCAATAAGCAGCATTTTCGTCATATTTTACTTTTTTACTTCAGTAAAGGTAAAAATGCTGTCCAAGCGAGAAAAAAATTGACGGATGTGTATGGAGAAGGCGTGTTAATAGTACCCCAGTGCCAGAACTGGTTTGCAAAATTTCGATCCGGCAAGTTTGATGTCGAAGATGCACCACGGTCTGGAAGGCCGGTCGAAGCTGACAAAGATGCGATAAAGGCATTAGTTGATGCAAATCGGCGAATAACCACACGAGAGATCGGTGAGAGATTAAATTTGTCGAATTCGACTGTTTATGGCCATTTGAAAGGCATGCGCTTAACCTCGAAGCTCGATGTGTGGGTGCCCCATGTCCTTACGGAGCGAAATTTGTGTCGTCGCGTTGACGTGTGTGATTCGCTCCTCAAACGTCAAGAAAATGATCCATTTTTGAAGCGGATTATTACTGGGGACGAAAAATGGGTTGTATACAACAATGTTAAACGCAAGAGGTCATGGAGCAGAAAAGATGAACCGGCTCAAAGCGTGCCAAAAGCCAACATTCACCAAAAAAAGGTGTTGCTCTCCGTTTGGTGGGATGTCAAAGGAATCGTTTTTTTTTGAGCTTTTGCCGGACAATACAACGATTAATTTAGAAGTCTATTGTCATCAACTGGACAAATTGAATGATTCACTTAAAGAGAAGAGGCCCGAATTAATCAAGGAAGGGTGTAGTGTTCCACCAGGATAATGCGAGACCTCACACAAGTTTGGTCACTCGCCAAAAACTTTTACAGCTTGAATGGGACGTACCGCAACATCCACCATATTCTCCAGATCTGGCGCCTTCCGACTACTATTTGTTCCGGTCCCTGCAAAATTTTTTAGATGGCAAAACCTTTATCTCAAATGAAGATGTCAAAAACCACCTGAACCAGTTTTTTGCCAGCAAGGACCAAAACTTTTATGAGAGGGAAATTATGTTACTGCCAGAAAGATGACAAAAGGTGTTGGACCAGAATGGCCAATATATAATTTAATAAAATATTTATTCATTATACGAAAACTGTCTTTCATATTCCCCAAAAAAAAACGAAATGACTTTCCGAACAACCCAATATATTTTATTGGAGTTCACTCGCACTGACGCATCGAGTTTCGAGTTTAATAAAACTCAGGGCAATTATTAACAACTGAATTATTAGGTTGCCTGGTAAGTAGGACACACTGTGTATACAATTTTTCAATTTACAGTCGACGAAATGTACAGCGACTCGAAAAAGCCGTTCTGCATCAGAGAGACTATCGCATGCTTTTCGACCGACGTGATCGCAAACTGCGCGTTCGGCCTGGACCCCAAATGTATGGAAAATCCGGACGCCGAGCTGAGGGTACACGGGAGAAAAATCTTTGAACCGAGGAACTTGAAATCGTTTCTCGAACAGTTTCTGCCGTGGAAGCTGTTGGCTTTCCTGGGGTACACGTTCTTGCCCAGTGATTCTTCCAAGTTTTTCCACGAAATGGTGAAAAACATCGTAGAATTTCGGGAGAAGAACCACGTGCACAGGTAAGAAATGCCAAATGGCAGTGCGAAGGAGTTTCATCTAAGTTGTGCTAGACTTTGAATTCTAACCTAAACGCGTGTTTAAGTGGTATACCGCATTTCATTTCTTGAAGCTTAGGAGACTTAAAAGGAAGAAGACGTATTGATAAGATTGTGTGTGAAATCTAGATGGAGACATAGCCAAAGCCAGTCATCCAATCCTTAACCGAGACTGGGTAGGAAGAACAACAAAAAATTCAACAAGTAGACAACAGACGGTTTACAAATTAATGATTGTTCTGCTAGGAATAGAATAAATGAGGTAATGGAAGAGAAAAAATCTTGAATGTAGAAAAAGACAGAGCACCTCAGTCCCCCTTTCGACAACCTCATTCAGTATAGTGCTCACAGAAAGTATGCACACATACGACCTAACAATTCTTTCGAGAACTTAGTGAAAGCAGCAACAGTGTTAGAACAGACAGATAAAGAAAGAGGGTTAAAATGAATGATAAGAATAAATAAATGAAAGAGCACCATTTATTTATCTGGGAGTAATAACGATTGATGATGAAAGAGAAGAAGATGGAATTCAAGAGAAAATAGTTGAGAGAGTAATATGGGCTGTCTCACCTACAGAAATCGTACCTCAAAACAATAATACTGAAATGAAAATATATGGCGAAAAGAAAGTGAAGGAAGTATACCAGACCAACGCAACAAGTTTTGACGAGATGAACTGTTGGAAGAAAAAGGACGACAATTTTATCATGACATCCATTGACTCTGGAAATCGTTATTTCATTGCCTAAATTACGGTAGATATCTTGTTTTAGGAACGACTTCGTGCACTTTCTCCTTCAATTGAAAAACAAGGGGAGGATGCTCAACGACGGGGACATTTCTAAGACCAACGAAGGCGTCATCACCATGAACGATTTGGCGGCCAGCATGTTCGTTATATTTGCTGGAGGCAAGTGAAGCAACGCGGTATCCCATCTCATTACAAGCGGTCGCTTTTGCATCTAGGATTCGAGACTTCCGCGACGACCACCACCTTCATGCTCTACGAACTAGCGCGCAACCAAGACGTCCAGAACAAGATAAGGGAGGAAATAAGAAATATCGTAAGGAACGATCCTGAAGGAAAGCTAACGTACGAAGGTTTGCAGGAGATGCACTACACCCAAAAATGCATTGACGGTAAGCACTATGTTATGGCCCAGACAAAGTCTTGACATCAGTTTACAAGATTTCATTATAAAACTGTTGAATTGTTTCTTTCTTATCACACATCAAGACCCACTTAATACAGAAGAAAACAGGGGTGACAAGATCAAGTTGAAGTGACGTCACCACTACGTACCTAACTTCATGGACGACCAGAAAATTATCTGGTCGGCTGTTTATTTCAGTTGTATCATATTAGACTTACTAATTGTCTTGATTAGCTTCAGTGCATTCCGATTTCTGTAAGGCCTTTGACAAAAATCTGACAGAGGAGTTCAACAAGGATCCTATCCGGGCCCCTTTTTCGCTGTTCATTAATGACAACGATACGTTTTTCGGATTTTAGAGATTTGTTCTCCTTCCTATCTTAATATTCTTCGCATTGAGCACTGGTTGAGTTTTCAGAGGCATTTGGCTAGGCTTTCAAATTTGTACAATCAATTTGAACGTTCTAGCAGTTGGCCATAGGAAACATTTTATATATCGCAATTACGAGGGATGGTTCAATATATAATACCTTTGATATTGGGCATGTGGAACGTTCAAAATATTCCGTATTGCGGAAAATTCTTGCCAAACAGCCTAAAATAAGTTGGTTGTATCTCTAAAATCATAGTGTGACATTTAAAATTTATTTATGTTTTTGAATAAACGCTCCTTAATTTGCTGTTGCTGTTTGTATTCCAAAGTCAATAAATAAATAACCTTAGTCAAATTGTATGAAATGATTAACATATGTGTTCCTCGTTTTGAAATACAATATAAAAAAGAAAGCTGGATGTCACAAAAGGTTCAGAAATACGGGTAGTCCCTCAGAATTGAAAAATGTTCAGTACCTTTGGTTCGAAGATAAAATCTAAAATTAGGTACACCTATAAAAAAAATAAGAACTAAAAGTTCATATATATTCACATGACAATTGTTTCGACAACACCACCGTGACAATAAAACCTTAATTAATGATTTTAGTTTAATAATGGAGAGGTATTTAAATCTAATTGACCGTTAAGCAATACATTTGAATGTCTCATTTTGTTAATTTTGATGGCTTCCAATAAATTTCATTTTTTACTTTTTGGGGCTGTATGTAAAATATCAAAATTGTCGTCAAAAATAGGTTTTTCTGTGTTTAAGTGTGTAACATAATTAGAATCTGGACTATTGTTTTTAAACGCTCTTTAATGTTCGTTAATGCTTGTTTTTGAAAACATCTAGCTTCTTGCAAAAATACGTTTGAAGTGATATTGCAAATGTCGAAGACACATTTTGAAATAATTTATATGTACAGGGTGAGTCAAGTCAAAAAATTATTTCAGAGTATACAATATTATTTTTCTAAAAAAATTCAAGTTTTCACACTAGTTAAAGAATTATATTCCATATTAGCGTTACTCCAAGATACCGTAAAATATATATGATATGACTCTCTCTATCCTAACAAGGAATGAATAGATACAAAACGGATTATCTTTGACTGATACCAAGCTATCCAAAATAGGGTAAACTTGACGCATGCCTCTGCTGGAAAATATTTTTTTTTCGACATGTCCCGGGACATGCGACTTAAATGAGATATTGACGGGATATACTGGGGATATTGTGTGCTATCTGGGTTGGTAATCGCCATGATTACCATTATTTAATGACTTTATTTAAAATTTGAAATAACTTGAGACAGTAGATCGCTGACAAGTTTATAAAAATTTCTTTTATTCGCGTTTAAGTAACTGCTATTACGAAAAGTCGCTTCTAATATTGAAATCTAATAATTGTAATATAGGCTTATCCTTAAATAGATTTTGCTCAACTGCAAAGAGAATCGGGTGCGATAATATCATATGGAGATTTTCATTTTGTTTATTAAAACATATAGCTTCTTGCAAAAATACATTTGAAGTGGTATTGAAAATGTCGAAGAAATAGCTTATGTGTACAGGGTGAGTCAAGTTAAAAAATTATTTTGCAGTATACAATATTATTTTTCTAAAAAAATACTAGTTTTCACACTAGCGAAAGAATTATATTCGATATTAGCGTTACTCGAAGATACCGTGAAATATAAATGCTATGGCTCTCTCTATTCTAACAAAGGATGAATAGATAGATATATTTGACTGATGCCGAGCGATCCAAATTAGGTTAAATTTGACGCATGCCTCTTCTGGAAAATATTTTTTTTTCGACTTTGTTTCACCTTAAGTCAATGTCACCCCAGTTGCCCTTGCAGTTCCAAAAATCTCAAAATGTTAAAAAAAACACAGCTATATAAGATTTTAAAACATTTTCTGGCTTATTGTGCTTTCAAGTTGTAAATAAATTTGATGCCAGATCATTTCGAGAGACCCATTATCACCTTTCCAATTCGATGTGGAGTCTATCAAGCAGATAACCGTGTTTGTCATAATAGAGTCGCTAAGAATGTACCCGCCATCGGGATTGTTGCTTAGAAAGTGCACCAAAACCTACAAGGTGCCTGATTCCGACGCCATCATCGAGAAGGGCACCCAAGTTTTCGTTCCGGTTATGGCGGTGCAACGAGATCCGGATATATATCCCGATCCTGATACGTTCAACCCGGAGAACTTCAGCGAAGAGAACAAGGCTAAGAGGGAACAAATCTCCTGGATGCCGTTCGGCGAGGGTCCCAGGCAATGCATCGGTGAGATTTTTGCTACCCAGAAACACCCAATTGGTATTCCCGTGCGGTTCTAGGTCTTAGGTTTGGCTACATGCAGGTGAAAATTGCTCTGGCTGCGTTGCTTAGAAACCACAGGTACACCTTGAATCCACTGACACCAGAAACGTTTACGTACCTCGTGGATTCTCTGTCGCTAGCTACCAAAGAAGAAATATATTTGGACGTCGAAAATGTGGGGGCGGATTAATCGCTTTTGTTAAGAGAATGTAATTAAAGGAATATTTATATTTGTAGCTCTGCAGTTTTTTTTATAACTTTGAAAATTATTTCATTAGAGCAAAGTCGGCATATATGGAATACTAACTGTTTTTATAGTGATAACGTTAAAATCAAATTGTTTAAAGGTGCAATATTTTAATATTAGAGGTATTTAAATCTAATCGATCGTTAAGCAATACATTTGAATATCTCATTTTGTTGTTGTCTCCATCGCTTCCAATAAATTTAATTCTCTACTTTTTGTGGCTGTATTTTCTATAATTTTAAATTTTAGGACAAGATCAACCTGATTTTTGAGATTTTACACATTTCGTTTTATTGTTTTTTAAAAATTTTCCTCGTGTGTTGTTAGTTCTGAAAGCTGTTTTTTGAAACTTTTTCACTGGGTTCTCCTATGTATGTAATTGTTTTAAATTATTGGTGTTCTGTATTAGGTTTCGGATAAATAGTGTTTACTGTTTGTGTGGATTTGTTTTTTATTTATAATTTTATCGATAATGGACGGATTATAGCCGTTGATCAATGCAATTTGTTAAATGATAATTAATAATAAATAAATAATAATAATAAATAGTAAATAAATAAAATATAACTACATTCAGAAAGTTCAGGAAAACGCTACACAGTAATTCTGATTCCGATTTCTTCTCAAGGTGACAACCATGCTTTTGGCATCCATAGAAGAATAGTTAGAAGCATAGTCACGAAAAAATAGAAGTTTTGCTGATATTACTGAAGTTTCGAGCAAACAAGCACTTCTACAGGAAACCTCTAAACAATCCGAATCTAGCGCGAATTTCCAGGGTAAGAAACTACAGCGCAGGCTTCCATCGAAATAATAATATGGTTTTGATTGTAAGGCAGGTCGACGAAGACCTGGAAGGTGCGTAATAATATTGTGCGCGCGAACTCTTCATGGTGCCGGAGGATTTTTAACCCAATAATAATTTTCAGACGATTCTTCATCAGATGCTGATTCGACTTCGTCGCTTATGTAATCTGCGTCACTTAGATGGACTTATAAGGCTATATCTCAGGTGGGTCGTTTAAAGAGTCTAAAAAGTTGTACACACTGTCTGCCAGGTAATCACAGAAGTTTATCAAAATAAATAAGAACTAAAAGTTCAGATTTTCACGAAATTATATATTATGACATGACAATTGTTTCGACAACACAGTGTCTTTATCAAATGTCACATTTGATAAAATTTTGATAAATGGATTTTCATCAAGTAAAAGCCACCTCAGTTCAATCACAGATGTTTAAGTGCTCGGGGCAGATTTGACCCCACGATAGTAGCTCAGGGTTAACATTTCCTGTTTCATTTTTTAGATTTTCGAAAAATCAAACGGATTTGGTATTATTCCAGCTTAAGTTTCTGTGCGTTTGAGTTGACGTCTTTATATGTGCTTATTCTTAAGTTACGTTGAGTTATTTTATTATTTAAAAAAAAACGCTTCCTATAAATCGCAACATACGTTTCATATAAATTAAATAAAATTTATTCTAATAATGATTTAAAAAAATTTATTGGTCGCATAGCTCCGTTATTTCGATATACTGTACAATTTTATCGAACTTCTCCTTCATAAATTTTTAATCGACTTTCGAAACGTCCAACAAAATATCCTCCACGGCCGTCATCGTGATAGTATTGCAGGCGAAAGTTAATTTGGTGGGAGTGCTCTTGTGGAGGGTGAATCTGAAGTTACTCAGCAACGTGGCTACTGATGTTTTCATCTGCATGTATCCAAATCTCATTCCTAAAATGTGTATGTTTTTACCAAAAATTTCAAACCACTTCCGAGTACCCTACCGATGCATTGCCTGGGTCCGTCTCCAAATGGCATCCAGGCGCTGCAAATCCTACCGGCCCTCGCTTCGTCGCTGAAGTTTTCCGGATTAAATTCGTCCGGATTCGGGAATACATTCGGATCGCGGTGGATAGAAAACGCGGGCAAAATTGCCACGTCACCTTTATTAATCACCAGATCGGAATCCGGCACTTGGTACCGCTTGGAGCATTTCCTCATGTGTACAGCTAACGGTGGGTATAACCTCAAAGTCTCTGCAGAACATGAACGGGTTTTAGAAATACTAGTGAGGTCGGATGGCAGGCTCGATTACCGTCGATGCACTTCTGGCCATAGTGCATTTCTTGCAGTCCTTCGTATGTCAATTTTCCTCCGTGTTTCTCCAACACTTCTCTAATTTCATCTCTTAATCTGTCCTGAATATCTTGGTGGCAGGCCAGCTCGTAGAGCAAGAACGAGGTTGTGGTCGAAGTCGTTTCGAAACCTAATATTAAGTGTTAGGTGCGTCGGTGCATATCACCACATACTAACCTGCTCCGTAAAATATAAACATACTGGCTGCTACGTCTCGGTAGGTCAATATACCTTGGGAGTTATTGGTAAGATCACCGTCCTCTGTTAATTTGCCTGTGTTCTTCAGTTGTAGCAGGAGATGTACAAAATCGTTTCTGAAATAATAAGAATAATAAATGTCTTTGTTTTTGGCTCTATTACAGTATTATCTACTTATTTTAGCTTGTCATTTTAAGAACTGTTTGGAGATTTGATACAGCTATCAAGTTCTTCAAATGGTTTTAATCCAATTTCACCAAGACAACTTCTGCGGTTGCCATGGCGAAAATCGCCGAATAAGGGTTTGAATCCAAGTATCGCAGAGCCAAAGTTTTATATCATTGCTTAAGTACTGGATAAGTGCCAGTAGTATTATGATTTCCGAGTTTAACGTTACTCTAAATCTTGGATCAGTCAAAACTTCTTTCGAAGTTAGAGACACGCAGTTCTTAAATCTGATATGACTTATGGAACTAAGTTGAATGATATATGGAGTATATGATTGGCAGCTTGTTTCAAAATAAGAAGAAAGGCGGACAGCTGGAAAGTGATCTCTCTTGTTGTGATTTATATCTTCAATGTTTAATGTCTGCAAGATATCGAAGGATAAACTTTCCATATTTGTATTTTTACAGAGACGAGCCCTTAAAGTACTGGAAAATGGTGTTTCTTTGACAACTTTGACAGTACCAGACATAATATTGTAAAACCACAATATGACTTCACAAACTCACTTTCGTATATTATTTTTCTCTCGATATTCGACTGTCTCCTTAACCACCTCTAAGAAGAACTTTGTGGTGTCGCTGGGGTGGAATTGATGGCCTAACGCCGCAAGGACGTCCCAGTTGACAAACTGTTCAAATAAAAATTTATACGGCCTCGGCTCAAATATTTTTCTGCCGTACTTCCTGAACGCTGCGTCCGGATTCTCTAGACAATTCGCTTCTATACCAAAAGCGCAACTTGCGATTACATCGGTTGAATAGCGCGCTACGGCATCCGTAACCAACAACGGTTTGTTGTTTACGTGACTTTCAACTGTAAAAAATCAAAAAATTAATAAAAAAATAGACCACCCTATAGGAAAGCTACAAATATGCAACGAAAGGAAAATGTTGGAAATGATATAAAACAAAGTAGAATGGAAAGGTAAAAAATAAAAGAATTACGCAATCAATCACAAAACAAACAATAGATAGACAGGAAATGAAAGATGCGTATAAACAAACACAAATGTTGCTAACTGGATAAAGAAGGAGGCAAAGAGAAAAGAATGTAGAAACATATTTGAAAAAGTATTATCAAAGAATAGTAATCAAAATATCATTATGGGATATGCCACAAATTTAATGTCAAAAACATTATCATTATATACATGAATGGACAAAAAAGCTTTATTGTATAACTTACCCAATGTTTTCAACTGTTTGCTCAGGTCGTGCACTATCCCAAACATCATCTTCATCTTGCCGGAAGTGAACGTAGGTGTGAGCTTAGTTCTTAAGGTTCGCCATCGTTCGCCCTCTAAATTGAAGATGTTGTTTGTCAAGATCTCGTTATTGTGATGGTAAAAGTTGTGGTCGGTAAAATGTTGGAAATCCGATTGCAAGATACGTTTTATTAAATTCAAATCCGTAACGATCCATATCGGTTGAAAGAAGAGGTACATCCCGACTGAAATGATAAAAACAAATAAATTTACTACTGCACTATAATAAACAAATGATGTAAATTCAAGAATATTCACACAAATGTCGAACAGGCCAGAGCATAGTTCCAAAGTTTAAGCGAAGAAGTTTAAAAACTAGAATCTAGAACTCTCAGGTATTGGCAGTCATTGAAATATGAGAGGTTTTGTTCCAGTTAACAGTAAAAGTGTATTTTTGTAGAGAAATATTTGAGAGTATATATTAAACCTCCAAAGTCGATAGTTAATGTTAGTAAGCATTTTTTTTTTAAAAATACATATTTTTAAAATCCTTAAAAACCCCAGGTAGTTTGAAAGTTACTTTTTTTAACTCAAGTATCCCTTTGTCGATTGGGTTAATTAAAATGAGTTGGTTAGTTATAACGCTTATAATTTAATTGCATTCACTTCCCATATATTTTTTAACTTTTTTTTAAGTCAATGGAGAGGATTAAATTAAGCTAAGCCTTCCCTTCTTCTACAAACTTCTAAAATACTATTTACAAATCACCATTAAAAATCCATCATCAGAAGAACTTTCAGATATCTGAATGATATTCAGAAAGTTCAAGAACAATTTTCGGGAAAATGGAAACCTTGATGCGGAAACTGGTTGCTGGAATATTTGAAATTATACGTCCGCTCTCCATTTTTACTGGGAGTACACAATTTTGCGAGATATACCTCAAAGAAATAAATTTTCGGGACAAATTTCACGTAAACCTATCGAACAAGACGGCAGATAAGTGCGGCAACAATTTGTGCACATTGTTCAGATAGAAGCGGCAACACTGCAAAATCGACCTTGTTTTATAACAATTATGGCCACATACCAAGGTTCACGACAATATCTATTTTGTTTCTATGGACTATGGAAACGTGGGAAACCTTGTTATTATTTATCAATCTAGGCCATCCATAAGACCATCAAAAATACAGTGGACAGACAATCTTCAATTCAAAATGTGTCTAACCTTGTACTCTTACTCAAATAAAAATAACTTTCAATTATCTAAAAACTATGAAATTTGATCTGCTTTCGTTTATCAAATATCTAGAGCAATATGAATATAAATAATGAGGTACCTACAGTATCTATAACGATCTTTAAATTTTCCATAAAACTGTTGAATGTTTTGCTCCACAGTCATTTTTCTCAAAATGGCGTTCGTAAAGCTACCGAAGGGGAACTTCACTTCCGCTTGTGCCACTCCCCTCCTTTCCCAGTATGTGTACTTCCATTTTACGTATATGTACAACAACACAGGCACCGCTAACGCAAACAATATCAACAACATTACGACTTAACTTTCTGTTTTTTTAAATGCGTAATATTTGTTAAGCCTTACTATTTATACATATTGTGGCTTTTATTTCACCAGTGCCGTGCATCAGCAACACTTTGTACTCATACTCATAGAGATATCAATACAACATCATTTTGTTGAAACTACTATTGGGTTGAACTGCAAAACTACAGATCCAATCTCCATACGGACTATAAACGCCACATGAAATGGACACAAAAGGTACCTTTGATCATGTGACATTTAAGGACGAAAGGAAATGATTTTTATTAGCCCTCGTGAATTCGCATGTACACGGCACTGGTCGCATGAATGAGCGAAATTTAGTTGTTTTCGATTGTTTCTAATCAGTAAATAAAAGCCGATGTTGTTGATGTCGCAGGGTGTCTCAATTTGGTGTAGTTATTGCTAGGTTAATTTAAATTTAAATTCCAACCGCTATCTCGTAGATTATTTAATTTATCAATCCTTGAAAGGGATAATAATATTCTCTCTAGTGAAGTCACCATTCCTCCGCAACATCACCCTTCAAGAGTTTTCAGTTTTGATGTTGCACTTTGGATTTTTTCATTTAAAACACACAATTTACGTAGCTCCACCGTCGAACAATGATAAAGAGGAAGAGCCGAGTTTTAATTGAGATTCCTACGCACACTGTGTATATTGTTAAATACATAAGAAGTTTAATGTCTGAAGGTCATCCCGTTTCACCGATCAAGGTGTAATGATGATTTGAACCGAAAGTGGTCCATTTGTAAAATGCTAGGATGTTAATTACCTCACCTCACCCTCACCTGTTTAACTCGAATGCAGTGATGTTATAAGACACAATTCCTATATATGAGTGGAGAGGACTAAATTGATCTGTCTACAGTTCTTCTACAGACTACTCAAATACTATTTACAAAACACAATACGCACGAGGTATCCTGAAAGGTTGTGAATATAGAGTTTCTCTACTCCCATCTGTCAAATACACACCGATCAAGCGTGCGGGAAGCGCCACTTGACCACGTCAGTTTCGTTTCCCACGAATCCGAGCCACTTTCCGGGATTTTACCACACGCGTATGGCAGCAATCGGATGTTTTCGGAGATATTTCCCACGTTTAAAATTTTGACGTTTGTCAATTTTGACGCTCATGTGTTGTTTTGCGAAAATGTACCTAAGAACCAATCGCCGCAGAAGATCTTGCGGCTATGATTAGCCCAAATGGTCGCTCAAAATATATCATAATCCTAATAAGTTTTCTGCGAGAAAAAGAGTTGAAGTATACAGAAAAAGTTTTAGCTCAAAAATATGTAATTATGAAAAGTGCGAGAAACTGTGGATATTGGAAAACATAACCATGAAAATTAAACACCATTATAAAACAAGTCAACAAACAATTTGTTTAAAGAAACTTTATTTCAATATGTAACCTAAACGTAAAACGATAAATTAAATTATTAGTATATATTCAGCATTTCCTCATTTCCCTCGTTTCTAGTATTGGGAATATGGATTTACCGTTTAACGCTGAGAAGTGTGGTTTGTTGTATCGAAATTTAAAGAACAAAAAATGTTGTGTAAACTCACATGAAACTCTTTAAAAGGAAGATATCCTATTTAGTTCTAGATGCACACTCAAAGCTATGGTCTGTGAACATGATTGTGGTTTATGAAACAATTACTACTTGCTTTAATTATATCAACAATTTATACAGTGTTTTTATAACTCTTTTAATATATAATATAATGTAATGATATGAATGAATAAAGATACATGAGTTGAGAAAATGTAAATCTGCTTTGCTTGTTGCTGCAAACATTTCTCTTATGTTCAAGATGGTTTAAGATATCTATGAAAATTTTCACATTCACAAATTAAGTGTAGAATTTTTTAATCCATGAAAATTTTGGAAAACAAATATTTTTGACCCAAAAAAAGTGGGCAACATATCACCAACAAAATAATATTTTTGAGACGCCAGCAAAGTGAAATGATTTGATTAATTTCTATCAAGCTGGTTAGATGTAGACCAGAAATGAGACCGTGAGATATATAGCAAAAGGTTTTAGAAAAAAAATGTACCATTTGGACTGTCAAATACCTACGACAACTAGAATGACCAGAAAACAAATTATCCAATATACTGATAACCTATCTGCCTAATTTTTCAAGTGTTTACCACCTCTGCTGTAGCCTAAAATGTAAAAACCTCAAAAACTTGTACTGAATAGTTATTTACACAGGTAGGTAGGTGATTCTTACTAGTCAAGGACATAGTTTACTCCCCAGTCAAGCAATGGCTGAGAAAATAGTTCTAGTCTAAGCAACATCTCTTCTTCGCAACTCTGTACAAGGCATTTTAATTATCAAGGGGTATTTCTTGTATTTGTACTAGTAAGAATTGTTTTGATATATTTCCTGTAATTCTTGTATAGTAAAATATATTACTCTAACATCCTTCTTGTCGTTATTTAAGTGTACCTATATATGTAGGATATTCTGTATAGTAACGGTAACAAAACAATTTTTACCGTATTATCTTATACCCATATGCGTAAACCTCCTGATCACAGCTTATTTGGTTTATAAAAGCTACATGCATCTGAAAGTTTCGACAAGGGGAGTTACGAAAGTTGTTGAAGAACAGTTGTCTTCATAACCCACCTTCAAGTTTTTTGCGAACTGTTTTCGAAAGGTGGATGTTTTTTTCAACTCCCAAGGATCCAATTCAAAACTTTTAGAGCAGGAACGTAATCATCAATATCAGTTTGCCGCTGGGAATTTTAGGTTAATAGCCGATAGTGGAGTGGATCGTGGAGTTACCAACTTACTGCTATTCAATTATTTTTTGAAGGTTACAAAGAGAGGTAGGCCTGCAGTTAGACTCTCAGGAATACTCAAATTTAAATACTAGATTATATCGCAATAACGGTATATCGTTAGCTTAGTCCTCATTGATTGATTACCCGGTTTTGTAATTTATTTAATATCTAAATAAGTCATCGTAACATATTTTTATATCACAAATATTAGCCTCTTATTATCACAATTTATTAATCAAACTTCGAAACGTTGAGTAATATGTCCTGTGCTGGCGTCAAAGTGAGAGAGCTGCACGCGAAGGACATCTTCGAAGGGGTGCTCTCATGGAGAGTGTATCTAAAATTCTTCAGCAACGCTGCTATGGATGTCTTTATCTGCATGTATCCCGAATCTCATTCCTGAAAAATAAAGTTGTTGGTTCTTGCCATTTTAAGAATAAGTTTGAAAAAAGGGCCAACCTATGCATTGTCTCGGTCCATCCCCAAATGGAGTCCACGCGCTGGAAATTCTCCCAGCTCTAGCATCGTCCCTGAAGTTTTCGGGATTAAATTCCTCCGGATTTGGGTATATATTGGAGTCGCGTTGAATGGCAAATATTGGCAAGATCGCCACATCTCCTTTATTAATCACCAGATCAGAATCCGGTACTCTATATCGCTTGGTACATTTTCTAAAATGAAAAGGCACTGGTGGGTACAATCTCAAAGTTTCTGTAAGCAATAAACAGATTTTAGACGTCTGAATGAAAGAACAGGTAGAGCCCGACTGAAATTAACAAAAAAATATATGAATATGAAAGAACAAGAACCAAAATTTTCGGTAGTGAGCATGCAGGGTGTCCAGTACATGGGGATATTGGAAACTGTAACAGATACAGCGTCACTTGAATCGAAGAAAAGTAGCTTTGTTTTATTTTAAATTGATACCGTTACGTACATAAAGGGTGAAATAAGAAAATGTCAATTTTGGAAAGAGCACATTAGTTTCTTTATTATAGAAGTTGAAATGTTAAAATTACGCCAAAAAAAAATAGGCCTACTATGCTGCGCACTGCCGAAGTCAACTTTTGTTTTGACGATACCGTTAGAAGAATAGCACTGCGCCAGTGCTTTATTCAGAAAAATTACGGGACTACAAACTTTTTCTTAAAAGTCTTTTGGCCGGATGAGTGCCGATTTACTAATTGTGGACTCTTTAATCGTAGTAATGCTGTATTCTGGGCAGACGAAAATTTACGGCTAGCTCGTGAAGTTAAGCAACAAATGAGATGAGAGATAATTGAAATTCGGAGAGACATGTATACATTGTACAAAAAATCGTAACAAAAGATAATGCATCATACCCCTTGATTTCTTCGTATGGGGTGACCTCAAAAATCAAATATACAGTAGGACCTACGGAAATGTAGTGAATTAAAAGAAGCTAGTGCAGAAGTTTTGTGAAGAAACACGTGTATGTTAGGCCTGCAACAAAATTATGAGAATTTTCTTCATTTTCTGTGCGTGAAAGAATAAAAAACTTTATAGGTTTGTATAAAAATTTTTCTGTTTTTTTTCTCGAACCTCCAACTTCAATTTTATCGACTTCTCTCTTGTCCACGCATTATTTAAATAAGTTTTACAATTGAATAGCAATAAAAAAGTCTATTGAAAAGCATTTTTAAAGATGATTTTGAAAATGGTAAAATTCAATATTCAAAATTTGAATATTGTACATTCTCCTTTTTCTCCCTGTATATGCGTAATGGCATCGCTTTAAAATAAAACGTAGCTAGATTTTTTTTGCCATTTTAAGCGACGCTGTATATTTTACAGTCTCCAATATCAACATGGAATATCCCTGTAATATACAATCTTGTGTGAACATTAAAAGTAAACATAAAAACTATCTAAAACTCAAGCATAATAGAAATATGCACGGAGCTTAAGGTTTATGTGCACTGAAACTCTAAAGGAAGGTATATGCATAAGCATAATGTGTATGCTGAAACGGAAAAAAAATTATTTCGAATAAGAAAACCGTTTCATTTAACTCAACTGTCGCGATAGCAGCTTAAATTTTAATTCGCCTCTCGATGTTTTCAACATTCATGGAAATTGTGCTTTTAATTTTTATCTTTCAACTGGCCGAATGATTATTCTACTCACAATATTTGTGACTGCCCTTAAATTTTTCGTAAAACAGTTGAACGTTTTGCTCCAGTCATTTTTCTCAGAATCGTGTTCCTAAAGCTGCCGAAAGGAAAGTGGACTTCAGGTTGCACCACCCCCCTCCTTTCCCAGTACGAGTATTTCCATTTTACATATATATACAACAACACAGGCACCGCTAAAGCAAACAGTAGCAACAACATTGCTGTCTTACGTGTCAGAACAACTTTTTAAACTGAATGAATTTTTATAGTAACATCTGGTATTTATATATGGTTTGATACTTTTAGTCAGGGGTGTGCGTCAATTTTTTTACGTCAAAATTTCATTGGTATTGATTATTAGAAACATTAGAAACTCTTGAACAGTATATTTTCTTATTTCAACAAATCGGCAATAAACGCGGACGTTGGTTGTCTTTTCTACCTGAACTCCAAATTTACATACATTTATTGGGAGGGCTATATGTTTTTCTTCCTCGACATGGTCATCAGAGTTCTATCTTGCATGAAATGTTCGCGACCCTTTATGAATGCGATAAATTTTGTTGCCTCGCACTTGCGAATTCTTCGTGTTCCGAGATAGGGATCACTTTTTGTTTACTATGCCCACGAATTAATACTCTCAATGTTTACACAAAAAATCAAAAACCAACGGACTGTAGAGAGGAAAAAGACAAAAAGTCCATTATAAATGTCACTTCAAGGTACACGATTATCTAAAGAACAAAATAGGAATAATTTGTTGCTTAAATTTAAAAAAAAAAAACCTGAATTGAGCGAAATCTATAACAGCTGTTTTTGATACCATGATCAACCAAACAACTATTTGTTATTCTATACGTATATTTGTACTACCGTCTGTAAAATATCTAATTACACACCCGTCTAGCGTGCGGAAAGCGTCACTTTACCACGTCAGTTTCGTTCCCCATGAATCCCAGCCACTTCGGACATTTCCGGGATTTTACCGCACGGATTTGGGAGCAATCGGATGTTTTCGGAGATATTTCTCACGCTTCGAGTTTTGACGTTTGTCATTTCTGACAGGCATGTCAGTGAACATATTCGTGTTGTTTTGCGAAAACGTACCCAATAACTGACGGTCGTAGAAGAAGTATATTATGCAACACGTTCGGTAAACTTTTTAACTCACTTGCTTATTAAAAACCCGCTCCGCTGCGCTCCGCTCGTGTCAAATGAACTCGTAAGTCCAATACCGTTTACCGCACTTATTGCATAATATACTATGTTCTACTCAGTTTTTTAAAATACCTAATTATACTCCGATCTAGCTAGCACATGGGTTTCTTGATAAACAACCGCTTATCATTTATAGCACTGGTTGCATAATATACTATTTCTTGTTAGCTACGTACTGCTATACCAATACCAATTACCTTCAACTAACTTTTGATGGACTGTCGTATTATGTAGATCTTAAATCTTTTTTTCTTAGGTAAGGGATAGTCTATTACGTGGGTCACATTCTCAAAAACAATTAAAAACTAATAATCCATTATCTACTAAATTTTCTTCGAACAGGAAGTTTTATTTTGAACGATATTCATTGCATACAGCTTCATCTTCGTGTACTTTCTAAATCCTTGTTGCTGTTTTCTTATTTTCATAATACAAATCAATTGATTCTTGTTGTAGACTTTGCGTAGTATAATTTTTTACTTAATATTGTACTCTATTTTCGTTAATCTCACTGAAATTTTTTGTCTCTAAGTGCAGTTGCTTCACAAATGATTTCAATTGTCTTTTTTTATTATTTACGTAAGGTACATAATTGATGTATTACTCTAGAAGCACTCTAGAAAGAATCTATTGTCTATGAATTTGCCAGCGCGCGCCGCTGTTCACACGAGCAAAATTATTTTGTTTTCGTTTGTTTCTTATCAATAAAGAAGCTTTCACGCACTCACGTTGTTGATGTTACAGTGTTAGGTGTCGCACTGTTTACTCCTGTTATTGTTTTGATTGTTGATTTATGAAACACAATATACAGGGCGTCCCAAAATTAGCGGGTCTAACTTTTATTACGAAGAAACTACCAAAAATCCGTTCCCGTTTTCAGATTTTTTTTTTGGTTTTTGCAACGTATTTTGTATACTATTTAAAATCTTTTCTACACCGTATACTTATAAATACATCTTTTGCATCAGCAACTCCCTTGTGTTGTCAATGAAGTAAATAGCAAACTCACTATTTTTTATAGTTGGTATATACATATACATAAAATATGTCTCAAAAATTGATATTAATCTCCCGAATACACAGACAAGATATCAAAGTTGCAATTTCAGATATGATTTTTTTAAAATAATTTCTGAATTGGTCGAGCTTTTTGCACAAAATTTGTAAAATCGGAGATTTTATCATGGGAAATCCATTTTCGTGAATAATTCTGTGGCACATTGTAGACGGCGCTAGATACGGTACTTTTTGGAACCTTAGTATGCAGATTTTTAATGGAAATATGACTTCTTACACTTTTTTTAAAAAAAATAATTTTGTTTGTTTGAAATTTCACCTATAGTAGTCCTTTTCGAGAAATTTTCGTGGAACTGTTTCGCGTGACTAGTAAAATAGTTCAAAGTAGGCGTTGAATAACATAATTACAATTAAAGACAGCAACATTGTGCGAAAACAGAAGCCAATTTTTTTCAAAGTAGGCATTGACTAAAACGAATGATGAATTTTTTTGCTGTTTGTATCTTAGATGTTTTCGATTAGTTTTCCGATAATGTCAAGAATAACTTGCTTTCGAAAGCGGTGACGTATCTGGAATATTTGGGAATCCCAAATACTATATTTCATTTTCGGAGTGAGAGAAACAAAAAAAATATATTTTTCTATTAGATCACAAAATCTTTGTTGCCCTGTGTTATTGGTAACAATTGTCTACATGGTCATCTATTCTTTGACGCATCCTCTATATTTTCTACGAGGGAGAATATGTTCCATATTTTAGTTCACCGTATAACTAAATAATAACGATTTTGCTTGTGAATACCTCATCATTAATTTTATGAATTGCACACCGAGTGAATTATTTAAGTGTGAGACTTTCGGTAAAACAAGGTCATTCCATTTCTCCGCCCGAGGCATGGCGATGTTCTCAAGTGAGAGTATTTTATTTTGATAAATACTGATTGCGATCAGGTCCCGACAAATGTTTTCTTCGATCTGCGTATAACAAATTTTAGTGATTGCCAAAGATCTACGAGCCCAGACACATATGAATTGAATGAAATGAATGAATGAAATATATTAATTTTTATTTTTTTGAAATAACTCTAACGAAAACAACTGAAATATTCGTTGGTTATTTTAATTACAGTAATGAAAGAAAACAAAAAATATTTCATAATGTCTGGCTCATATTAATTGGACCAAAGGTACCATGGTAAGCACCATTCAAGTTTACACTTGGATACATCGCTCCAAATTACTGAGTCCCATATACGCACTTACACTATATCAAAAAATGACTTATGTCAAGTCAAGCGGCATATCATTTAGTTCAGTTAACAAATTTAATTAGTTTTTGCCTTTTGATATGTGTATTTGTTTGTAATTTCATAGTTTTCAGTGCTGATGTTTCGCCAATAGTCCTTGACTTATCTGCAACAACAACAAAACTAATCGGCTCGGTATGTATTGATTTATTCAAAGGTTCATGTGTTACATCATATATTAACACTTTTTATATCATACAAGCATTTTATTATCCGAGTTTATCAATCAACTTTCGAAATGTTTAGCACTATGTCCTGTACCGGCGTTAACGTGAGAGCACTACAAGCAAAGGTCAATTTCTTTGGAGTACTCTCATGGAGAGTGAATCTATAATTCCTCAGCAACACTGCTATGGATGTTTTTATCTGCATGTATCCGAATCTCATCCCTACAAAATAAAGGTTTTCGATGATATGGTGCCAAAATGAACTAGGAGCGGCTATCTAACCGATGCATTGTCGCGGTCCATCCCCAAATGGAGTCCAAGCGCTGGAAATCCTCCCAGACCTCGCTTCGTCGCTGAAGTTTTCGGGATTAAATTTCTCTGGATTTGGGAATATGTTGGAGTCCCGCTGAATGGCAAATACTGGCAGAATCGCCACGTCACCTTTGTTGATCACCAGATCCGAATCCGGTACTCGATATCGCTTGCTACATTTTCTGAAATGCATCGCCACTGGTGGATACAACCTTAAAGTCTCTATACGCAATAAACAGATATTAGAGGTATGGATGTCATTCAGATGTTGGTATCCTAACCATCGATGCATTTCTGAGTGTAATGCATTTCTTGTAAGGCTTCGTATGTCAATTTGCCTTTGTGTTTCGCGAACACTTCCCTAACTTCGTCTCTTAATCTATCCTGAATATCTTGGTTGCAGGCGAGCTCGTAGAACAAAAACGAAGTTGTGGTCGAAGAAGTTTCGAAACCTAAGATCAAATATGAGATAGGTAGATGGTTATTGCTTCATATCACCAACCTGCTACGTAAAACACGAACATACTAGATGCCACGTCCTCGTAGGTCAATATTCCCTGAGACGTTTTGGTAATATCGCCATTGTCATCTAATTTCCCTGTGTTCTTCAGTTGGAGCAGGAGATGCACAAAGTCGTTCCTAAAAGCAACTCACCTAGTGGATCTAATCCGTTAAGACCAAGAGAGAAGGAGGATTTTGAACCAGTCATTCTATGTTCAACTTAAAGACATCTGGTTATTTTAATGCGATCTTGACATTTTTTAATATTGTTTCAAAAATGTAAAGGTAAGGCCTATATAACCATGTGGGTTCATCCAATCAATATCTTAGTCTATTTTATATACCATAAATACTCCCAAATCAAGAGAAATAGAAATTGGAGGGAATTGGTAAAAGAACATGTGAATACAATCTGAAATCTGTATACATGTGTCTTATTACTTTAAGCAGCAATAAGCTGTTGGAACTCAACAATGAAAGCCAACACATCACTGAGGATGTTAATCACGCCAATGATGATGATGAAATAGCGTGTACCCCCCTACAGGGGTTAACGGAAGTCTCCGAGAAAACTTTAAATACAAGAGTTGTATAATTTTTGTAGTAGTATCTTTTAGACTTGTAAAAGAAAACAAATTCGCATCGCAAAGTTGAGAAATAATAGCAAGTTTTTCATTTTTAACTGGAGCACACTATATGTTTTCTGTTATGACCCATTTTTACACATATATAGAGTGTTGATATTTGGATAAGATGTTCTGCAATTATTTAAGTTTAAATTTTTGATTAACTAAACAGATATTTATCCAGGTGATGCATAGGGTGTTTGATTTAAAGATAAATAACTTGCTACTATTTCTTTGCGATGTCTGCTTCTACAAGTCTGAAAGATAATACAAATTTTGTATTAAAAGTTTTTGTCGGTGACTTCCGTCAACCCCCGCAGCTGCTTTCAATACTTGAAAACTTAACTTTGCGACTGTTCGCATCAATATTGAAGCCTTTTCTACCTTTAGGCCACCAAAAAGCTTCAAAATAGAGACGAAAACTCTCAGAAAGGAATAGCATTCTTATTCTTTTGGCTCTACTATACTATTTCCACGCACATTCGATGAGATCTGGACATATTTTAAGAAAACACTGCCATAAAATGCGGCATATTAACTTAGTCACCATCTGTAAGCGGCCATGTTGGTTGTCCCTTCTTGTGACCTTCTCAATTTTTTTCTATGGTTGCTTCATAAGTTCTTGTATTTTCGGCATAAACAGAGCTTATATATCTCTGGTAGCTATATGGCATACTATGATACACTAATCCAAAATTTTATTTTATATTTGGAATTAGAATTGTCCACTTTGAAAATACTCATGTTGCTTACTTTCGTATATTATTTTTCTCTCTATAATTGATTGTTTCATTAACGACGTCTAGGAAGAACTTCGTGGTGTCTTTAGGGAAGAAGGAAAATCCCAATGCAGCAAGAAGGTTCCAATTGACAAACTGTTCGAGCAAAGCCTTGACCGGCCTGACTTCGAATATTTTCCTCCCGTACTGTCTAAACGCCGCCTCCGGATCCGTTAGGCAATTCGCTTGCAAACCAAAAGCGCAGCTAGCTATGACATCAGTCGAGAAACGCGCCACGACATCTCTTATCGCCAAGGGTTTCTTGGTGGCGAAATGATTTTCAACTGCAATAAATCATCGTCATTTTGGTGAAGAAAAATGGAGAAGCTGACTTTTTTTTGTGATCACACCACTCCAACACGAACAATACAACTTAACGACGTTAAACGTTTACAAGAATTAAAAGCCAAGAGATAACTCAAAAAAATAATATAAATAAATTATGGCTACATGTTGAAAAATAAAACAATTGACTATTACTTCCCGGAAATGAGATCAATCTCCCTGTTTCGAATGCAGCAACCTATAAATTTTTTAGTTATGTGATTTTATAAGAAAAATCTAATTGACATGTTGCTTATTTACTTGGTTTACACTTGCTTGTGCTCGTTTTTGCTTAAGTTATGTTTTCGTCTTATTTAAATTGACAGAGAAAAAATGACCTATTGAAATTTTAATATTTTAATATCTTATTAATCGCTCACTTTTTGATCTTCACCGGGTATTTGGATTGGGGGAGGGGGTCAACGAAACCTCTATTTTTTTATTTGACATACAAAAACTAGTTGCTACTACCTCTAGAAAGTACTTACCACGTATGAGCAGTTATAGCTTTTTCGAAAAATCGAATCATTTCAAAGATTGAATAATTTAAAGAAAAATAACTTTTCCTTCTGAAGTTTGTTATTGACTGAAAAATAATTATCGTGAAATGTTTTCAATTATTCTCATGGAAAATTTAATGCTCTACATAAAATATCTCTTGGAATCCTTATTTATTCATTGAGTTAGTAAATTTTAAGATAGTTTATTATCTATTTCAGAAAAAAAAAGTTCTTTGTTCAAGAAGTATTAATAAATGCATTAATAGAAAAAGAATTCTGTTCCACATTTGATAAAGACGCGGTGTTGTCGAAACAATTATCATGTCAAAATATATAATTTCGTGAAAATCTGAACTTAACATCAAGCAAATCATATGGTAGGTCAAGGATTTTGAACAAATTCAATGATTTTTGAGACATGAAGTCACTCAAATAATTTTGAATAATCTGATGTTCTTTTGATCTACCTCAATTTTTTTACCCTAGAATTTATACCATCTCGAATATCTTTGAAATGGTTCGGAAGTTCAGTTTCCCATAAAAATTATCAATAAAGTTTGCTTAATGGTGATATGATTTGATTATTTATATATATAACTAAATCGAAAATGCAAAACTATAATCAATTTAATCTTATATAAATCATTAATATGAAGAGATCAAACTTGGGAAGTACTTGCTAGAGGTAACTAGCAACTTGAATATCAGATCCGCCAGACCCACCTTAGGTTCAACTTTAGGATGCCTTTTCCCAAAATTCGAAAAATGCTTGTCAAATTATCTTTAATTTGTGTTGCAATTAATTGAGTGCAACTTGCGAAGCAGATATTGAAACTTGTATATTGTTTATTTTTTAAATTTTAACATACAACAAAGGGAAGGGATTCCCGACTGTATTATTGAAAAAAAATATATATTTGACAAGCCTTCGGAAGAAGTCGTCTTTAGACAAGGTGATTCACGTAGAATTTTGCATGGGGTACAACTTTTATTCGCTTAACTTAAAATATCCACATTTACCACCAATGAGTGCAAAAAACTTTAATCTAATACAAAGAATTTACGCTATTCATGGAATATCCGATTGTCCCATACATCATGTTAAACCCATTATTGGAAATGAAGAAACAAAAATTATGGCGTTTCTATGGTTCCACACGAAATTTTATACGCAATGCAAACAAGGATTTACTGGTAAGCTATTCATGCAAATAAAGAAAGAAAAATGGGTATATGGTAATATTAATATTTTTTTCTCAGAATTTAATTTTGAACTTAACAAAATAAAAAATTACGGGATGTTCCATTTGAAATTTTTTTTATCATGAATCAAACTTAACAAAAAGTAACCTTTTTTTTGGTACACCCTGTATAACTCCAGGATATGTTCTGTAGTATAGTATAGTTTTTTTTTATAAATTTTAAGTTTTTTACCGATGTTGAGTAATTTCATTTTAACAAAGTACTGCCTTTTTTTTTTCAGAAAATATCAAATATTTCAGAAACTGTGAATTTTATTTGAAATTCAAAAATGCGACAATATATAGGGTGGTCCATTTAAAACGAGAAAGCTGATATTGACGACGGCTATACATCGACGTCCATATCAAATATACTCATAGCGAAATTCAGAATATTAAAACTTAATTAATTAAATTAATTAAATTAAAAAAATAGGCAGTCTACGTGAACCACCCTATATATTCTTTGGTGTCCGGACAAGCAAACAGGCGAGAAATATCTCAAACTGCAAAGAATATGGAATAAGCGAAAGCGCGGCCATCTTGAAAAAGTTTTAACAAAATAAGATTTTGTTATTTAAAACATACCCAACGATTCTAGTTTTGTACTCAGCTCGTAGATTATTCCGTACATCATCTTCATCTTTCCGGAAGTGAACGTAGGTGTCAGCTTGGCCCTTAGCGTTTTCCAACGTTCTCCCTCCAAATTGAAAAGGTTGTTGGTCAGCATCTCCTTGTCGTGGTGATAAAAATTGTGGTCGGTAAAATATTGGAAGTCCGGTTGCAAAATCCGTTTCATTAAATTCAAATCGGTAACGACCCATATGGGTTGAAAGAAAAGGTACAACCCGACTGAAAAAATAATACGAAATTCAGGTTATGCTGGAAAGGTCTTTGGGAAATCATACTTTTTGTCAGACAATATTCAAAATTGAAATATTTTTATCAAATACGCGATGGTTCGAAAAATGTTATTTCTCTCGATACCAGTCGAAACTCTATATAGCGAAATAATCAGTTGGCTTTTATTTTCACCATGATACATAAACCATTTCTCTAGCAGCTTAACTGAATATAGGCCCCAAATCAACTTCTTCCTCTTGGTGCTCTTCCTCGCCCTTTCTTGCTTGTTGTAATATGGCTTCCTCTGACAAGATCATCTTCCAAGTCCTGTTCGCATTCTGTCTCGGTAATAAGTCCTGCATGATGATGTTGAATTGTTTCTGGTGTCACCTCTTTCCAAGCTTTACTAATATTACTAGTTTTGGACACGACTTCTTCAGCCAATCGTTCGTGGCGTTTCTATCGACATCACGGGCTTCGCCACTCTCTGTCCATAATTTATATAATTTATACCATGTCTTTGTTCGAACTTCCCCAACCATCGTTCCGAAGCCTTGAAATCGACCATGCCAAGCTGTTAAGCAAACTTTTCTGCTGTTAGTTTTACGATAGGTCCAGTACATTTTTAGGACGTTGCTGTTGGAACCACTGCAACATTGCCCGATCCAAATCTTCAAATTTTGGCTATCTTAGTTTTTTGCTAGAACTGTCTGCCGCTTCAGCCCGAATGATTTGTTCTTTGCACTTCCAAATCGTGGATGCAGTCGACGGTGTAAGTCCGTATCGACGTCCCACATCACTTTTCTTTTCTATCTTTTCTATCTCCCGAGTTAAAGCAACTTTACCATCTAGAGATAAAATTTTTCGCTTATTCGCAAATCAGAACTTATTGAAATAATGGTGTGCTGTTATACGTACCGATTAATGCAAATACAACAAATTTTGTTCGTAATACAGAGTTATACGTCATACGCTATAGGGAGTTTTTACTGTACTTTGAATTTGAGACAAATAAAAGATCGGTGAAAGTGTTGTATTTGGAGAGAGTTTTAGAGCCAGCATTATTAAAACATCCAATTTTAATTTATAAACAATACGGCGCTCCTTGTCAGCGAAATGCTATAATCAGTGAATCGTTAAATTTCAGACAATGGATTGGGCAAAATGACACCACCTAGACAGCAAGGAGTCCGGATTTAAACCCACTGGACTTCTTTTTGTGGGACACTTTAAAATATATAATATACAAAAATAAGCCTAACTAATTTTTGGAATAATTTCGAGTTAACACTTGCATTATTCAAAATGGACATGTGCAAAATTTAATATAAAATTATAAATTTTATTTTTGAAAATTTGTGGCAAGTGTTACAATTTATAATTTTTACAGTATTTTAAATAAATGATTATAGACACAGTAATTTCATTAAAAAAATATTAGAGACTTTCAGAATTAAGGTTAGTTGAGTCCATATTACGGACAAATAAAAAAATTCAAATTTGAAAGGGCTATCCGAAAATGGAAAAATATACAGAAAGTTTGACTTAAAAAATTGAGATTGGTTTCATTTCATAAAAATATTTCAATGTCGAATCTTGACGATATTTATATATATCGTTGCATTCGCCTTTAAAATATATTATTTGACCATCCTGTATGTAATTCAAATAGTACAAAAATTAAAGATCATTTTAAGCCGGCAACCCGGTACGTATGACGTATGGTTTAAACCTAAACCTATACATCTTATGTCTCCCACAAACAACCTCTCAAAGAAAACGAATTTGAAATCATTCCCACACACTTCATTCAAAACATTTTTGACCGTACATCAAAAGTACTTAAGAAGTATAATGTACAATGATCAGATTTTCCACTTGATCAAAAATCTGTCACCATCATCCATCAAAGGCGAAATTTCATTTGAGACAATAGTATATTATGCAACAAGTGTGGTAAACGTCATTTGACTCACGAGTTTATTTGACACGAGCGGAGCGCTGCTGAGCGAGTGTTTAATAAACGAATGACCGTTAGTTTTTGGATACATTTTCGCAAAACAACACGAATGCATTCACTTACATGACCGTCAGAATTGACAAACGTCAAAATTGACGCACGCTAGATCGGTGTGTAATGAGGCATTTTACAGACATAGAAAACAATTTTTTTTACGTTTTTGTGGAAGTTTGCAAAGTAAAAACTTTATAGACAAGACAGTTGGCCCCCTAAAGCTTTAAGATTAGAATTTTAATCTGCTGCAGTTTGAGATAAGACGAATAATTGCGTTTACTATTAAATAGGGCAGCTCCCGGTGTAATGATTACTGATTTTTAGTCTAATTTCGCAATAAATAACTCACAAGTTACTCACAGTACTTATGGCTGCCTTTCAATTCTTCATAAAATAAACGAACGTTCTGCTCCAATGTCATTTTCTTCAAAATCGCCCTTTTGAAGCTGCCGAAGGGAAACTTCGCTTCCGGTTGCACCACCCCCCTCCTTTTCCAATAAGTGTACTTCCATTTTACGTAGAGGTACGCCAGCACAGGCGCCGCAATCGCAAACAAAGTCAACAACATTGCAATCGTATTTGTTGCAATAGTCGCTCGTAAACTTGTTCAAATGAATAGTTGTTTATGGTAAAGTGCAGTATTTATAGAACTTTTGCTAGTGCATTTATCAGTGACGTGCGACAATATTTTTGCAACAGTACGCAGATTAGAAGTACCTGTTAATTCATATTTTTTTAAACAATTTTTTCTGCACTTCTGATGAGAATAGGCTTTAAAATATGCTAGAACTTTCAATTCATTGTCTATACACATTGTGGCTATAAAATTTAGGTATAGAGATAAATGCAGTGTAAGGTGTTCCAAATTCGAGTGGCCTCTATGGCTTTAAGCATTTGCATCATAGTTAGCCCAAAACTAATATGTATGTTACGGGCTCGATTTTCAAGAGGTCTCAAAAACTGAAAACCGCGTCGCGGTATTTCAAGGCGTTTTTCAGCTACAGGGTGATTCTAAAAATGTACGATTTTAAAGGCCCTCTATAACTTTCTTAAGTTTTTTTAAGCGGGAATCTCTCTATTTTACCCGTTTTGTCTTAGAGCGATTAGTTCCCGAGATATCACACAAAGTTATATTTCTTTAAATGGGATACCCCCAATTTTTCTAAAAAATCAGTTTCCTAATAAAATTTCCTGTCGAACGATGTGCCATACACCTATTTTCATTAAATAGTTTAAAATATATTTGCAATTTTTGATATTTATCATAGTAGGCGCAAATTTTATTGTTTTTTTTTTTTTCATACAAAATCAAATTAGCTACGACACAACTTCTAGTTTACAATAATTACCAACCCTAAAACAATAAACGGAAAGAAAATTACTAAAAGCAATTTTTTATTTAAAATTGTTATTAATTATACTACGCAACACTTCTGCACATAACAAGTGCATCTTCCAATTCCCTTCTAGTAGTTGACGGGAAATTTTATTAGAATTATTTTTTTAAATTGGGGTATTATATCTCATGAACTAAAGGCTTTAAGACAAAATCTGTGAAACAGGTATATTTGCCATCAAAAAATCTTCAAAAGACGTTTTGAATAAAAAACTCTATCTTCACAAAGGGCTTTTTTTAGAAAAGTACGTTTTTAAAAATCACCCTGTAGCTCAGAAATTCGACTTCTCTCGAAAATGAAGTCTGTAACATTCATATGAGTTTTGGGCTAACTATGCTGCACCTGGAACGTAAAAAAATGAATAATATTTTACTATCTTTCTTTCCCCTAAAAAAAGATTACTCTTCAACAAAAAGAACAACTAAAACCAGTCTATAAAGAATCAAAACGCGATTATGTCATCTCTTAACTCTCAACAATATTTCAGTTATATTGCAATCCAAGAAAAATGCTTGTCTGGAACAAATTTTTTTTGTAACGGTGAAACTGGCGTTGCAAGAGAAAATTATCCTTCTACCAAAACAAAATGTTTAATTCCGATAATATAATAAAAAAATACTTGCAACGTTGTTTCCGACTTACATGAAATAAATGAAAAGAAAACAAATATATATCTAAAAAACAATAACAACATCTCTAAAGAAATATTACAAAAAGTCAGTAATATACCAAATGAAAGAACTAATTTGTCTAAGAATGAAACCTGCGGTACAACCCTTACCTTCTGTCCGTGTACAGAGGAAGAACCTGCAAAAATTGTTTAGGTGGTGGTGGTTGGTGGTGTGGCCCTTTAACTGTGTTGATCACGGGGGCGTATCAATGGTCAAGAAACCTAAGTCGATTTTCTTAGACATTTAAACTCTATACACCCTAACATTCGTTTTACCATTGAGTTAGAAAGTAATAATAACCTTCCATTCTTAGATATTCTTATCAATAGAAAATCAGACCTAACATTGGGTCATTGTGTTCACAGAAATCCTACGCACACAGACCGATACCTTAATGCATGGGCACATCACCACCCTTCCCAAAAATCATCGGTTATCAACTCTCTTGTAAAACTATCTCAGCAAGAGTCACTGAAAACACAATTAAAACACCTTACCTCTGCTCTTCTCTCTAATAATTTCCACGTTAAAGATATTAAGCGTTCCATGAGCAATAGCATAGCAATGAGGTCGAAAGCAATCCTACACTTGCCACTGTAGTCCTTCCTTACATTCAAAACATTACTGACCACATATCAAAAGCATAACGTCAAAACCAGATTTACCACTTGTCCAAAAATCTCTCAACACCTTCGGTCCGTCAAAGACAAAATTCCATTTGAGAAGCCAGGAGTTTACAGCATTCCATGCATATGCGGCAAGGAATACATTGGAGAGACCGGACGAAAAATATCAACTAGACTCAAGGAACACGAAAGAGCCTTACGACTAAGACAAATACACTCATCAGCTGTTGCCGAACACAGTCATGATACCGGACACAAAATTCTATTTGATAAAACTAAAATTCTTGCATGTAATCAGTTCTTCTACCAACCAAAAATCCGAGAGTCTATAGAAATCTATAAGCAACCAAACAATCTTAACCACGACTCAGTTCTCTAGCTGTCCCCAATGTCACTAATATGGGAATTGGTCATCCGAGTGTTCATGCTGCTCATTTAGCTCCGCCCCCCTCAAAGAACATATAAGCAGGTACAGAGTAAAATACTAGCCAGTTTCAGTCAAGCTCTGAAGAAGCCAACAGGATGATTGGCGAAACGTCAGCAAGTTTCACTGCCATCATTTAGCCCCAAAACTTCGTTCAGAAACATTCCTCTTGAAAAAATTAAAACCTATATTTAACCAGAAACAATTACTATAAATTCACAACTCTAATGTAGAATCTAGAATTCGATACGGAATGTCTTGGTGGGGTTGGTCAATTCATTGGGAATGTGCTTTTAAGCCCCCTCAAGAGACAGCTCCAGCTCCCCTTTTTAAAAAATTTAAAATTAAAACTCACTCCTGAGAGAGTCAGATTTAAGTGGATTTAACTAAGCTAAAGAATTACTCGGTTGAAAAATATTTTTAAAATGTGGAGAAGTTTTTATGTCCAGTGTACAGAACGAAATTGTCCACATAAAACTGTCGCATGAGTACACCATAGTCAATAGTTCAGCCGGAATGAAGAGAGATAATTAATTAAAAATGGATTAACAATTATCACGAACATTCGTAATTTCACGAATTTAATTAGCAAAGAACAAATTTAAAAGCATTAAAACTAACAAAAATAAAAATGTTATTTACAAATCTTTCTTTCCCTTCTTTATCCTATTTTGTACCTTTGAGGGGGGCAGAAAAAATACGCATTCTTAATCATTGTTGTTATACATTATTAATCATAATTATTAATGAAGAAATTGTGCCAGAATTCACTATTTTCGAAGCAAATTTTACACTAACTTAGGACCGCGTTCCTTACATTATACCAAATCTGGATCAAAATGGGTGGGAAATACCACCAACACCATGTTCTTCGGGATGAACTCCTTCTTCTTCTACTTCAAGAGTTCTCGTTGGTAATTATTTCAAAAGAAATAGAAGGCAATGTAAAAACCACGGTAAACGGACAAATAGGAAAATTTAGCTCTCGACATGGCCACCTCTCACCTAACCTAACCGACATCTTTGGTCGTCAAGCTACACACCCTCCTGATAAATTTCAAGTCGGTGGCTGGTCCCGTAGTCCAATTTTAATAGGTAGTATCTAAGGGTGGATAGTATTTTGTAGGAACCATGGCGAACGAATTGTCAGTTACAGAGTAACATTTCTGTTTCTACGCTGATTTCCTAGAAAATAACAAATTTGGACCATATTCGTCAAACATGTAGAGAAGAATGTGTTGTTTGTTCCCGCGGTACGATTCACCATCTGGTGTAAGTTGTAAATACAAGTGCCATTGATTCAACCAGGCTTTTTCAATCTTTAATACTATTTTAACAAGTTTGTAGTTTTTACTCTTATTTTTACACCATTTTACCCATTGGCCTTTCCCGATTTTTAAGTCACAAAATTACTAAACGACATGTTAAAACTTGGTCTATATATAGATTATTATACAAGAATCAAAGATACGGAACCTGGGAATCTCAGTACCCGCTGGAGATACAGCTTTGGTTGAATTAGGAAAAGGTTGTGCTCTTTGAAGTTTATTCACATGCGGTCTAAAAACTTCAAAAATTTCCATAGCCTGCTGGGATATTCGGGAAAAACGGGCAATACGGATAACACTTCCTCATTGGTGCTATTGGTACTGCATGATGAAATTGCAATTAACTATGCAATTTATCAAAGAAATTTACTCATTTTTTATTTAATTTACAGCAAGTATTCAAACAGGTTTCCGTTATTTCCCAAACATAAGTATGTCCAAAAAAAACATTGGTTTTTGAAAAGTAAAGTTTGAAAAAGTCTGGTGTTCCTCCAAAATATAAGCGCGGAAGAAAAAATTACAAAAAAATGTACAGCAGTACCTTATTATTACACGAATTGCAAGTTAAGAGATAATAAATATTAAAAAGACATCTAGAAAAATTTAAACAAACTTTATTACCTTGAAACAAAAAGTTCAATTATGTCACAAATTTGTTGCAAGGAGATTCGTTGTTTTCACCTGGCGCCCTTCAAATGTAAATAAAATGGTGACCATTTTCATTCAGTGCTTTCGCGTGCATAGACTAAGTAAATTGAACTTTTCGCATCCACCGTGCATGTTGTTATTAAATATCGGTATTTAATGTGGCGAAGTCATCTCGATTCATCGTTCGTGACATGATTGCTGATTACACTCAGTGCAGGACGAATATTTTTTCGACTTTTAAAAAATATACTAAAATAAAAGCTGAAATGTGTGGGAATAATACATACAGCTAGAAAAAAAATGTTTCTTCTGGATCTTAACAGACAGTTAAGTATGTTGAAATAAAAAATAAAAAAATGACGATCTCCGCAAACTTTGAACAACAAAGTTGTTCATACGGATGTGCGATAGCAAACTGATATCACATTGTAATTTGTATGTTATACACGATAATCTCTGTATTACGGCTTCGTACGATTTGACGGAAATAATTTACGCAGTAAGGTTT